ATTAGTGGTGACTTACGAATAGCTTTTTTAAAAAGTGAAATGGAAAGTTTTTTATATTTGAAGATTTTTTAATTTTTATTGTTTTTTTTTTTAATTTATTGAGATTGATTATAATTTGTCAATTACAGTTTACACGTTATAATATTAACATACTGCACGCGATATAGTATTTGGTAAGTACATAGGCTAGGTAATAGTTAATTTCTAAAATAGAATATGCATTCACAAAGAGATAATATATAGCAAAACAATCAAGTTTAAGTAATGAATAATAGCTAATTTAAGATATGCATGTCTAGGATGTTAATACATATGTATCAGTTGAATATATAGTAAAAGTATATAGTAAATTTGGTAAGTATATAGGCTAAGTAATAAACAGTATCTAAAATAGAAATACGTATACAGTTTATACGTTATAATATTATTATACTGTACGTGATATGGCATTTGGTAAGTACACAGGCTAAGTAATAATTAATCTCTAAAATAGAAATATGAAGATAATGCATGGCAAAACAATTAAGGCTAAGTAATGAATAATAGTTAATTTAAGTATATGCATGTCTAGAATATTAATATGTATGTATTAGTCGATTAATAAAAGTATACAGTAAATTTGGTAAGTATGCAGGCTAAGTAATAAATAGTATTTAAAATTGATAATGTATGGAGAATGATCAAGGCTAAGCAATAATTAATAGCCAATTTGAGTACATGTGAGCCTAGGATAGTAAGATGAATTAAGTAATAAAAAGGTACATAGCAAAATAGTAACTAAATTAGATATATGTATGTTGAAGATAATAATACAATAATGCAAAAGATATTGAAACATGCAAGTTATATTGAAATAAGTACCAGGTAACTCTATCAATGTATGTTAAGTTTATACTAATACTAATAATGTAATAAAGCTATTTTAATTAAAATAAACCCTAATGTCCTAATATAGATAAGGTATTGGTTGAAGTATGAAACAATTTGGTCCAAGTAATTAGAATCGGTAGTATAGTAGTTATATCAAGTTAAGTTTTTTTAAATCATGTATTGGTTTAATTGCTTTATTATTAATAGTTTCCTATATTTTTTTTTGTATATTATACTAAATTGACATGTTATTATGTAGAATTTAAGGGTTTATTTGTATTTATTCATTTATTTTTAGTAATCTATTCATATTTAGAACAGTAAAAAAAGATCGAATTTTTATTAATTAAATGAGTTAAATAAAAATACGATTTGTTAACAATTTAAAAAGTAAAGACAAAAAAAAAACATAATTAGTAATAATTTTAATTAAAAACATGTTAAGATGTGGATTTATTAGTTATTCTGATTGCTTAATATGTTTTTTACAAGATCAGTAACATTTGGACATTCTTTTGATCTAGAGTATAGTTTTATAGCTGTTGTCTTCTTTTTCTACCACCTTTTACTCTCGTGGCAATTGTTCAGGTTGTAGTTTCGGTATATAATTCTTCACTTAGAGGTTCACCTTGGGTTGCAGTTTCAGCATCTGAATCAACTGTTAGAGTTTCTTTTTTGGATTATGGCTTTAGTACCTGATTCAATAGTGGAGCTTCATTGAGGAGCGTGGTTACAATATTCAATTTATTAGCTGGAACTTGATTCTGAAATGTAGGTTTATTACTTGATTTATTGGTTGAAGTTTCATTTACCAAGGAAGTTTTGCTAGGATTTTTAAATTGATACTTGATTTGGCAAAAAAAGGATTGATAGAAAAATTAAAATATTAAGGTTCAAAATTGATTAGTAATTAAGTGAAAGAAATTATGCATAAACATTTTAACAATAAATTGGATTAACAATTTATTAATATATTTACTATGCATATTACTAGAACCAAGTGCATAATTAGAAAGAAAAAAAAAAATAATTAATACCAGATTTTTGAGATTTGGCAAAACTTATAGTATGAAGATAAATGATATAATTATCATGAATTATCGTTAATGTTAATTCTCTACTGATGAAAAGAACAGATCCTACTTTAACAGAAGAGGTAGTTGGGGTAAAATGTTGGGCAGACTTTAAGTGGTAATATTCCAATTTTTGAGTTACATAATCCTGATCTATATAATCTTTTGTTTCTACAGTTAAAATGATATTATCAGATTCATTTTGAGGAAGTTCAATTGTCACGGCCGTTATATTTATCAGAATAGGAAATATTGGTAAATTGTTTGGATCAATAGCAAGGTGAATGACTTCAGACAATATAATCTAAATATATCATGAGGAAATAAAGAAACTATGATAAATTGCAATAATAAAATTGTATTTTAAGATTTACTTTTAATACAGAATATTTTTTTCTATCTTCATCTATATTTTCTATAATCCAAAATTTACCAGTCACTAGAAGTACATCTTCGGTTGCAAATGGCACCAAAATGGATTCTTCTGTTTTATTTTGTGATAAAAGCCCACCAAAAAAAGATTTAACACAGAGTCTTTACCTCTAGGGTGCATTACCCCAGCAGCTTTAAAAACATTAAAGTTTTATTTGTGATGAACTCCTGGCGATCAGTGATATAACACACTGCTGTTATCGTTGACAGCATTTTTTTTTTTAAAAAAAAAAAGTGAGACTAAAAAATATTTTTTTTTAAAAAAAAAAAAGAAGAAAATAAAACCAATCATGCTTAATTTTTTTTTTTAAAAAAAAAGCCAAAATGTAGCTTAACTTTGTTTGAAAAGTGAAACCAAAGGGTAAATTTTTTTATTTAAAAAAAGTGAAGCCAAAAGATAATTATTATATATTTAGATATATATACTTCAGATTATTAATAAATTTACAATTTTTTGCATTATTACAATTTGTTATTTGCATCATCACAATTTCTTTGATCATTGATAATATGCACCAAGAAGTCTTCATGTGTTAACCAAGGTTAAAACTTGAATTCTAATGTATGTGTACTTGCGGTTACCTGTTTGTAATAATATCTAATAAATAACAGATTCGTTGTAGAGATTTTTAACATTACACATGTCGATGCATATTTTATCTAACGAAATATTTATTATGCCTATTTTATTAAAACTCATGACAAATATTGAATAATCAGTAATCATTTGAGTTTACAAGTTTTTTGATCATACATAGATTATTACTGCAGAGATAGAGAACTGATAAGTAATATAGAAGTGCAGTTTATCATAACTGTGGTAGATAGTATAAGAATATTCACTGAATTGTTATTGTTACATCTTTTCTGGTATTTTTAGGCTAGTTCATCCTAAAGAAGTTAAGGATTATATTATATGTAGAATGTACTTTAATTCAATAAATTATATATATATCAATATGTATATTGCAAATCATATGAACTCACATAAGTATGCATATACTACATGTTTTTGATTCATGACATAATTTCACTATTAATTTTTCTTTGAACAAATTTTCTCGAAAAAAGATAAAAAAACAAATAAATCATTTCGCTAAGAAGTCTTTGATACTATCGAGATTATCATATAATCAGACTAAATAAGAAATCTGAAAACAAAAAAAAAGAGAAAATTAATAAAAGTTAGAAATTTTGATTAATAAAATGCAAAAATCTGTATTTAATATACATTTTTTATTATCAATTATTATTAAAAGTATTAAAAGTAAATATAAATTATTTTAAAAGTAATTATTATTATTATTTTTTAAAAGTAAATATAAAATACTTGTAACTTTGAAAAGTATTTAGCTAGAGATTACTACTTAGAAGTCACTAGCTAGTGGCTACTATATATATGTATTTGTATATTGCAATTCATTTGAAATTGTATAAGTATACATTCACTACATGTTTTTTGATGCATGGCATAATCTGGAACATATCTATTTATATATATTTTTTTTCTCAATTAAATTTTTTTTTTTTTTTTTTTGAAAAAAAAAAAAAATAAAATTGTTTCGTTGAGAAGTCTTCGACATTATCAAGATTATCAAATAATTAGACCAATAAAAAATCCAAAACAAAAAAAAAGAAAAATTAAAAAATCTTCAAATATAAAAAACTTTCCATTTCACTTTTTAAAAAAGCTATTCGTAAGTCACCACTAAT